TAAAGTTTGTATTATAAATTGTGATAAGATTATTATTGTTAATATTAGTTCATTTTTAAAGGTGAATTAAGATTATTCGATTCAAAATTGATAATCAACAACAAACAATAATAAACCTTACGGGCTAAAAGTTACCAATGTAAAAATTTATTTATTTATTTCTCCATCCTTAATTGTGATTAATTACTAAGCAACATTGTCTTAATTATTAATGGGCATCAGTTAAGTTATTTACAAAGGTAAATTGTTACCTTGACGAAACGAGATTCAAACGTTATCATTATTATTATTACATCAGAATTTTAATCTTTGAACTGATAACTTTAAATTTCAAGGCCAATGATATTTTCTGATGTTTCATTTTATCATCAATTTAATCAGTGGATTTTAATTTATTAATCGTGGTGATGAAAAAGAGTTTCAATCAGTTGAGTTAAATCAGTTAAAGAGTAAAAACCAAATCTTATTCTCATTGATTAAGTTTGAGAAAATCATTGGAAGGAAGAAGAAACTTTTTTCCTTTCGATATTTTTGTTTTCGGATGAACTTTTTTTCTGCTACGAATTTGAATTCACCTAATCATCATGTCTATTAACAAGAAATTTTCTTCATCAATTGTAATTAGTTTATTCTGTTTAATTGTAATTGTTTCAACTCAAGGTAATTCATGTGATTCATTTGCTTAACTTATTGACGATTTGTGATCATTTGTGAGTTCGTAATTTTAATTATTCCATTTTGATTTGTATTTGAGAATAGGAACCAAACAGAAACAAAATTCTGACGATATTTTCACCAATTCAACTGAATCATGTGAATCTATTTTCAATGAAACAGCGGCTCTGGTTGAACCAGTTCTTTTGATTGGAAGTAAAAAGTTTCCCCTGACAATTGCTGAGATTGATGAACACTGCAAGTGAGTAAATTGTTCCCGAATTGTTTATAACATTGATTGAAAATTATTCTTCTAGTTGATAATATTTGTAAACTTTGTTACTTTCGAGAAAAACTAAACTCGAAACTTTCATGTTTCATGTTTCATGTTTATTATTATTTACACATTGATCGTAATCATCATGTTTCCGTCATGGAATAGAATCAATATTTACTTGAATAGATGAAAATCACATGGAGAAAGAGTTACATGCAGATGAAGTGAAGAATAAAAAAATTCTCTCTGAATAATAATAGTAATATGTTAATCTGATTCTCGAAAATTTTCAAATTGATCTTAAATCCTTGAGGGTAAAATCAGTTACTCCATTTTTGTGATCATGTTTCCTGTTGTGTTTTCTTCATCATCATCATCATCATCTCGATTTCTTTTTCATCATAATCATATTTCCTCTTACATTTTTTATCCCAAGACTTGGAACTGATGTTTACAAGAGAGTCAGAAAGTACGGTAAATGCTTACAGGGTTTAGCTCGTCAAACTTTACTCATTTATCTTCATGGCCTAAAGCGATTCATCCGAAGTATTTGTAACTCAACGAAAAAGAAACAAGGTAAATTGAAGATATTAATAGTCTGGATATAAGATTATCACTCTAACAATAGAGCTTGAAATGGATTAAATCTCTCTGTATTTATACATACTCTTTTCTCTTGATAATTTAGAGGCAATTGATGATTTAAGATGCGCTGATTCGAGGACACTTAAAGGTTGGAATAACTGTATGAACACCGTTAATCGACAGTTGAACTTCGTCGGTTTTAATTCCACCTCTGTTGGAGTTGTGGGTGACGTTTGTTGTATCTATTCAACGGTAATCGGGTGTCTCGAACGTTCAACTGGAACTATTCCCGGTTGTTCACCAAAGCGGATACTACAAGATTTTTCAAACATTCACTTTCACTTGTTCTTAAAGAGGTTATCGAACTGATCTGTTCAAAATATTCATCCGAATCAGATTGTATTGCAAATAATCCCGAGGGTTTGGCTAAGATTAAAGCCGCTGGATTAGCCGAAATTCCGGTCGAGGGAGCTTATCTGATCAGTCCACTTCTTAAGATTGTTAATAAATTGTCCGACGATTCTGATATTGGTAAAGAATAAATTATAATTTGTAATTTGTAAGATTTTGTTTTTTGTTCACAATTGCAGATCAATGATCAATTTTAAAAGTTAAATTAAAGTTCATTTTGCTATTTGCTTGAAAAATTTTTGGTCTTAATTGCTTTCAAGTTGAAACTTTAACCTCTAATTGTTAATAATATCATTAAGTTATCAAAGGCTGCGACTTAATCATGGCTGATGAATAAATATCATCATGATGATGAGGAAATGATGATGATAAATATTTCACCTCAAGGGTTTCCCATTTACTTTTTGATAATATGTTTAGTCTAGTTGGCAAAATTCATGGACAATTGGACAATATTAGTTAGATGATGTTAATTGTAGTCAATTTATTGGGACTTATAAATATGATTAGTGGAAGATTAAATATTGAAGTGTTAGCAGTAATCAACAAGGAACCAGAATCTTATTATCAACTAACTGATTCTCTTGATAATCAATTCAGAATAAGAAGTGAATAGAAACAGGAAAAAGCCCTCAGGGTCTCATAATAAGTAGTCGGTTAAATCAAGTTTCATCGAGCAATTGGAATTAATATTTTTACATCTCTAATTGGATACAATTGACTAAAGTGATGATCAATAATCAGAAAATTTATCGATTGACTTTGGACAATTAAAATGATCGAAAATGATTCCTACTAATTTGTGACACGAAAAAGACAAAGAAAAAGTTTCAATTATCATTATTTATAAATCATTAGAATCAGTCATCAGTTTTAATCACTTTCCTTGATCAGGAATAATTTGCTTTTCTCATGATATCACAATTAACTTAATCGTCGACAATCATTAAGTTAAAACAATGATAATCAACTTGATCTTTCAGATTTTCAGAATAGTTAAAAATAAAGTTGAATAACTGAGTCTAATCACGTTTTCTTTTCACAATATCAATCCAACAATCAGCTGATTTAATTGTTACTATTAATTGCTTGGAAAGTGATTAGATTGTTTCTTGATCAGACAGAAATTGAATTTAATTTAAATTAGTAAATAATTGCAAACATATGAAAGTAGATGTTGTTTTAATTAATTTGATTTGTCCATCGTGATTATTTCACAATTAAAGTTGATTAACAACTACAATCAAGGTTAATTAAAATGTTATCTGATTTTTTTTGTTCACATACAAGTTGTAACTTTGGTTACAATCATTTGATTGTTAACAATTTGATCATTTAATCACCAATTTGATAAGAATTTAAGAATTAATTTGAATTGTTTATCATTTGATTAGTTGATTAGTTGAATGTCCATTGTAAACCCTAATCAATATGATAATTATTATCTTAATCATCATTAGAAACCTTTAATTGTTATCATCTGTTTGGAGATTGATGTAAAATGTAAAAGTTAATTGTTGAAAATGAATTTTAAATGATTTCCAGAGATAATGATTGAATAATAATTGACGTTGATTGTTTATGTAAGTATATTAAATATCATCGTCTCTGAATTCATGGTAAATATGTGAATCCCCTTGGGGTAAATTGTACACTAATTGTTGGGAATTAACTTTCACTTTCTTCTCTGTGTTCAATTAGATTGTCATCATAAAGTTTACCATGAATATAAAAGGTTTTACAATCACAGTTAACTTGATTAGTTTGATTCTAACTTCAATCATCACAATTTAACTGGTAAATTGAAATTGTTGAAACACTTAAGTGACAATTGTAACAATCACAATGAGGACACAAAGTAGTTTATTAATTTTAATTGTGACAATTTCATTTTCTTTAATCACAATTACCAATGGTAAGGAAAAAAAAAGTTTTTCTTCTCGAAACTTAAAGTTGTTTAATTGTTTCCAATTATTATCTTAATTGTAGCCGCTGAGAAAAAGAAATCAACTAAATTAACTCAAGTTGATACATCATCAGAATGTGAATCGGCTTTGAATCAAACTGTAACAATCCTCGAACCCGCTATGTTGGTAGGAACGCAACCTTGGCCTATGACCATGGACGCGGTCACTAAACACTGCGAGTAAGTAAATCCAAGTATATTTAATGAGTACATGATTAATTATCGTTGATGAATGTTAATCAACCAGATTGGGAACTAAAGTTTACAAGAATGTCCGTCGATATGGTAAGTGTTTAAATGGACTTTCCCGACAAGCGGTCACAATTTTCCTTCGAGGATTGAAAAAATTCATGCAAAACATTTGCTTATCGAGCAAGAAAAAGATGGGTAAGTGTTAATTAGTTTTCCATTTTCTAAATTGTTCTTTTAATTACTAAATTAACTTGCTTTTTTTTGTGGAAAAACAGAAACAATTGAAATTTTAAAATGTGCTTCCAATGAAACAATGACCGGTTGGAGTAAATGTCTCAATACCGCTAATCAACAGCTCGATTTTACCGCTTCAAATGCCACCGATCCTGCGATGATCGGTAATATCTGCTGTACCTACTCCTCGTTGGTTGAATGTGTTTCCGTTTCCACCGGATCAAAGCCCGATTGCATTAAGCCAGGTCGTCAAGATACATCGACTTTCCTAGAATCATCATTGAGCTTAATTGTCAAAGATTTAACTGAATTACTTTGTGGCAATTACGCCACCAAAGAGGATTGTGATGCTCATAACGCTGGGAGAGCTGAATCATTGAAGTTAATTGCTGATGGTAAATATAAGGTCACTGGAGCCTTTTTATTGTCACCTTTAATTAAAGCAACAAAACAATTAGGTGAAATTCACGCTGATGACATTTAATTGCGACAATCAATTAATTTTCTGACAAACTTTTTTCTTTACCTTTATTATTATTAAACTATCTCTGTGTTTACCTTAGATTGTTGCAATTGACTGTATATTATCATTCTGATTTAAATTAAACCTTTAATTACATTTACTTTTGATTGGTGATTACTATTAACTGTATTAATAATTAATGATCCAAATTTAAAATGTTACTTTTTAAATTTTCCGCGAAAATTTTTAATTCCTTTGGATAATATCAAAATTTAAATACATAATTTATCTCGTTGATTTGGTTTAATGATGATAATTAAATCACCTTTATTAACCTGGACCTTTTTCTTGGGTTGGGATGACCATTGGTGGACAATGTTCACAGTAACCTGGTGACCCTTGTTCACCTGGATAACCTTGTGGCCCTGGAGGTCCAGGTCGGCCAGATTCACCGGTGGGTCCTAATTGGATTGGGATTTAATCAGTTGTTTAACTTTGATTGCTGTTTATTCAGACTTACCTTGGACACCAATTCCTGGTTGACCAGGAGGACCAGGATTACCTGGTGGGCCAATTGGTCCTTCAGTTGCGATTCCCTAGAAAATTTTGATTATGGAAAAAATTATTTCATCAAATTTTTTGCTTCTATTGATTATTTTCATCCAATTCAAATACATACATCGAGCCCACGATCACCTTTATCACCTTGGGAACCTTTTGGACCTTGGATACCAGGTAAACCAGGGTAACCTGAAATATTTTATTAGTTTATTAGAATTTCGTTTTTTTCATTCCTTTAATGGTTTACCTCTTTCTCCCTGTAATCCTGGTTGACCGGGTGGCCCTGAATCTCCTGGTCTACCTATTCTACCTCTTCCTGGTTTACCCTGTAAACCTTGTGGACCCGTTGGTCCTGGGGGTCCTTGGAGTCCTGGTGTTCCTGGTTCACCGGGAGGCCCAGGTTGCCCTGGTTCGCCCATGTTACGTTCAAGATTACTCTCAAATTCTGGTTGAAAATACAATTCCAATCAATTAGAGTAAATCCAACACAATGAAATTCAGATTGTGATCAAACCTTTAATTAACTCTAAGCAAATTTGTCGAACTCTTTCCTCGGTAATTGATTCAACTGATTGATTCCCGTTTTCCTCTGTGGTTACTAGTCCCGGTGGCCCTGGAGGGCCGACAGGACCAACAGGTCCGGAATCACCTTTCTCTCCCTGATTCAAATTGATAAATTAACCATTGGAATTGATAATTAATTAAACTTTTAGATTGAATATTAACCTTTTCGCCCGGTTGTCCAGCCTCCCCTGGTTGGCCAGTTGGTCCAACTGGTCCCATCTAATTGAATAAGTTATTAGATTATCATTAATAATAAATCGATGGAAAATTTTTATCAACTTACTAATCCATCTTTTCCTGGCTCACCAGAATCCCCTGGTTCTCCTGGTGAACCTTGATGAAGAAAAATTGGAATAAAAAAGATGATTTATTAATAATTCTTGAACTTCAAAGCTTAGTATTTGGATCTTTATTGTTTATGGTAGCGACTATTCAATGAATGGACTTGAAACTCGAGATTCATTAATCTGTTTGATTGTGAATTCATGAGAAATCCAGGAAATATCAGTAAAATTGTATTGAAATTTGAGAAAAATTCACATTCTCAAAATTTTTTGTTCATATTCATCTGATTTTTTATGTTCTTTTATCACAAAGAAACGATTTTTACTTTTGGAACATAAGAAAAATCCTGTAAATAGACTTACCTTTATCTCCCTTTTCGCCCCTTGATCCAAGTTCAGCTGGTAACCCAGGAGGACCAACATCGCCCTTGGGTCCCTCAGGGCCTGGCGACCCAGGAGAGCCCTGTGTCATTAAATTGAAGAGAAATGAATCAAAAACGATTGACATGAAACTGTCAAAGTGTCAAACTCACTGAATCTCCTTTATCACCAGTGAGTCCTGGTTCACCTGGGTAACCATTTTCACCTAATCATTGTTAACAATTAATAAGTTAGTCCATCTGAAAATCCCATCATGAGTAAATTACCTTTTATTCCGGGTGGACCAGCAATTCCGGTAAATCCAGTGTCCCCCTAAATCCCGAGTATCGATCCAGAGAAATACGACAATTTAATATCTCATTTTAACTGTTGAATTAAATTGAATTTAAATTTCTACCTTTTGACCTGGTTGACCTGGCGGTCCAGGTTCACCCATTTCCCCTTGATCTCCCTTTGATCCGTCAAATCCATTAGGTCCTTGAAGCCCTTGATCACCCTTCATACCCTGTAATTAAGTATGATACCCAATTAACTTCAATCTTTATCTTTGTTGATTTCGAGTAACTGATTAAAACTCACTGGGAGTCCTCGTAATCCAGGTTGACCCTGAGGGCAAGCACGACACTCATCTGGAATTGGGATGAACTTTGGAGGCTCAATTGTGTCCTAAAAAATTTATCATCAACAATTAACTTAAACAATTATATTCATCAATGAATTAAAAATCAACTAACCGGTAGTTCATCACAAGTTTCCTTTGCACCTAAAAGTAAAAAGTTGCGACAATCAGATAATTAAGATTGATGATCAAAATTAGTTAAATAATAAGAACTCACTTTGTGTAATATCACAATTAAGGACCATCCATTGAAGATCAATCTGTAAACAAAATGAATTAGTAAATTGCTACAATCAACATTATCTACCAGTTGACTTACAGGTACAGTTGTTGGTTCATCTGAAAATTTAGCGACAATTAAATTACCCTGATTGTCAATATTATCAATGGATGAAATTGATTGGTGACTATGTTCAAGACAATTATGATGCAGAGTAACTCGATTTTTCCTCAATGTCAGGCCAACTTTATGCCAAGAACCGTCGTTGGATGTTACATTGGTGAAAACGATTCGATCGGGAATTTTGGGTCCTTGATTAACCAACGATAATGACGATGGTAAAGTTAGTTCAAGTTTCCGTTGATAAGGAATAAATTTCAGGCACAATTGTAAAGATCCGGTGGAATCAGAGATTCGTATCAGATCCCATGATTCCGCTTTCGAGGGCCGCTGTCGAAATGAACAAACGAATGAAAATTCAGTGGGAATTCCGAAGGGGAACATTTTCCTTTGAAAGACAAAATTTTGCTCATTAGTTAATTGTTACAACTTTACGATTATCATCAACATAATATTGAACTTACTTCGTTTGTAAACTGAGGTCAGCTCGACGGGATAATCGATAAGCGGTCTGGAAATCGTTAGAACCTTTAACTTTTTTTATTCCAGGGAAATCGAAGCCATCAGAATTGTCCAAACCAAAATAACGGATAAAATCATAGGCCGGTAAATCGTTATGATCATTTTGATTGTGATTATTTACCGATGATAAACATGGTGAATTTGAACTTAATCCGATAACTTAAATTATTGAAACAATTAGTAAATTAATCGTGTTAATCTTTGGGATATAAATTAAAAAAAAAACTCACCGTTATTGGAAAATAATAATAGTCCAAGAAACTGAATCAAATAGTTAATCATATTGGTTAAATTTACTCTGATCAACTGATCATCTCACTGAATTAACTAAATGTTTCAGTTAAAGTTAACATGACAATTTAGGGAAATATTAACAACAATCAAGATTGATTAAAGTTCATCTTATTAATTGTCGTTGGTTAACAACCTCTTTTGTTGTTCAATATAAATTGTTTAACCTTTCAAGGAGAAATTAATTGTAATTGTAATTGTAATTGTGATTGTGATTAACGATTTAACATCTTATATACACATTGTCAACTGAGCTTTTTAATTATATAATTTATTGTTTGATCTTGTTAACAATTGTTGTACATAAGTGATTAGGGTAATTAGTTAATTGTTACGACCAATTCAATCAATTTTTTGTTACATTTTGATGATTAACTGATTGGCAGTTATTATTATTTCTGATTAAGTTAATTGTTGTGACCGAAAGTTTTTCGTCTGATTGATTATTCAATTGAATGAAATTGTACCACATTCAATTAGAAGTCGATTGAAGCAGCATAATCGACGCTTCCAAAGACCAACTAGAACATTTATCCCGAACAAGTTGAATGATTGTTCACTTTTGATTAGTCGAAGTGTTTGAATTCGAGCATTGTAAATTAGCCAGAGGGGACGACGATTGATTGACCAGGACATTCGTCGGAGAAAACGAATTGAACGGAAAAAGGTGTTCGATTTTCGAAGCGGTGATTCTGGGGGTAGATTGAGACGAAGTTTAATTATTTGGTACTGAGTTTGGGCCAATCGATGAAGTAAATCATATCTCCAATTGCGTAATGATGACAGTTGAATACATTGGGTAATTGTCGGTGTTGGTGATGTTACATTAGGAACTATTCGGGTTGATGGTGTTGGTGTTGATTCGGTTGGTGCTGGTGAGGGTTTTTCTGGTTCATTTGTTGATTCAGCTTCGGTCGATTGAGATGATGAGGGCTGAGTAGGTGTTGGAGCTGTGCTTCCTTCTGGTTCAGGTTTATTTGAGCTCATCGTTGTTGTTGATTGTGATTGATCTGTGCTTGTGGATGATGTTGTCATTTCGTTTGAATTATCAGTTGCTGTAACTGTAAATGTTGGATCAGTTGACGGTTTTGGTGGTAATTCTGATGAAGGTGGTAATGATGATCCATCTTGTGGTTCTGTGGGAGTCTCTGGTGGAGGTGATATGGTGACTGGTGGCTCAGTTGTTGAGTCTGGAGTTGTTGGTTCTTCGGTGAGTAGTGTTGTCGAATCAGGGGTTGATGGTTTTAAGGGTATTTCTGTTGACGAAGATGTAGCTGGAGGAACTGGTTGAGATTCGGTTGGATCAGATGGTGTCATAGTTGATGCTGGCTCTGGTTCTGATACTGAATCTGTGGATGAATCAGTTGGTCGAGCATCTGAAGTTTCACTTGTAGACTCTGATTCTGATTCTGGTTCTGATTCTGATTCTGATCCCGATTCCGATGTAGCTGAAAGCTCAGTTGGTGATGTTATTTCCGATTCTGTCTGTTCCGTAGGTACTTCTGAACTTACCTGGAGTTTTGTGGACAACTTAGACGGGATTTCTGTTGATGAAAAGGGAAAATTAGGCGGAGTTTCAACTGAAACTGTGGTCATCAGTGAGGAAGTTGGTAGATCAGAACTCTCCTCTTCGGGCATTGGTGTCTCAGTCGACTTTTCATACGGAGGTTCAATTTTCTCTGGTGTTGAAGGATTTTCAGTTTGACTTTCCGTTGTAACTGAATCAGTTGGACTAACACCAGAATCGCTTTTTGTAGTTGTTGAATCAGTTTCTATCCCTTCATCACTCTCATCTTCTGTCACAGGTATCACACTGACCCCAACACTTACAGTGGTCATTTGCTCATTTCCCTCTGGTGATGTCGATCCACCACTTTCACCATCTTCATCTTCATCTTCTTTATCACTTTCAGAAATTTGAGTTATCCCTTCATCCACCATGGAAGTTGTGGAACCCTCACCATCGCTCGTTGATGGGGTTACATTTTCCTTCTTATCTTCATCCGAATCAGAATCAGAATTATCTACAATTGTAGTCGGTTCATTTGTTGAACTAACGGTAATTAGGGTTGAAGGTAAACCACTTTCACTTGCTTCAGTTGAAGAATCAACTGATTTAATTGTTGTTGTTTTCCCTGATTCCTGGTAATCTGAATCAGTGGTGGCAACTTTATCTTCATCATCAATCTCCACCTTAGTGATCACAATTGTTGAAGGTTCTATTGATTCTTGATTAGGATCTTCGGTAACAGTTGATTGTTTCTCGGTGGTAATTAATTGTTTCAAAGTTGTCACTTCAGCTTCGGCTTCATCTTCACTTATTGTTGTTAATGTTTTAATTGTTGAACTTTCTGATTTACTTGTTGTTACTTCATCCTCAGTTTCACCAGAATTTGAATCAACTGAATCAACTGTCACAGTTAATTCAGTTGATCCGATCAGTTCAATATCAATATCATCCTTAATTGTGGTAACTGTACCAGTCACAACTGAAATATTGTCATGATCATAATTGTTTCCATCCTTAATTACAGTAATTTTATTTGATACTAATTTAATTTCATCAATTGAATCATTTAAATTGATTAAATCATTGGGGGTAATTGTTGTTACAGTTAAATCACTTTTAATTGTTGTTATCGGATTGAATTTACAGTTACATGAACGCTCAGTTGTTGCAATTGGAATCCAATCATTTGAATTATCATCACCTTGATTATCAACAATTAACACAGAAGATGATGAGTTAACACTTAATCCCAACGTTGAACCTTAATTGTAAACAAAGAGGTAACAATTAAAAATATTGAACATTGATCATAAGAAAATCAATTCTTACCTGAATGAAAAATAATTATCCAAATAAATTGTAACGAATTAACTTTAATTGTTGACAATTTCATTATTGATTCAATCACTTGTTAACCACCTTGTTAATCACAAGCAATTAGCAAATTGTCACTTGTAATCATATTTGATCCAATTCTTATCACTAATTAAGCTCAAGTTTTCATTCACACTAATTAACTGATTCATTTTTTTTCTGGGCAAATCCAACAATTTGATTATCCTAGTTAATCATCATCGTCATTATAATTGAATCAAAACACAATTAGTTAATTACTATTAATAAATTGAAATACGGGAGGAAATGAGCTCTTTAGCAATTGTTACCTTTTTGAACAAAAAAAAAGTTTCTTTTATCATATAATTGATACACTTTCATCTGAATTAAAGTTAATTAACAATCAACTAAATCATTTAAATAGTGACAATTAATTTGCTTTTCAATAAGATCCAAGAAAATCAATTGATAACTTAATTAGTTAATTGTTTGAAATCGTCTAGGTCCAAGGTGAAACTTTCCTAAACATTTTGTTTATTAATTATCGCTAATTGTTGGTTAGTGTTTAATTTAATTGAATTATTTAGATTAACAATTGACATTTTCGTTAAATTATATTACAAAGAAACTAAATTAACTCGCAATTAACTAGTACCATTAATTCAATGTCATCATTTGAATTTTACAAAGAAGGTAAAGTTTTTCCTTCAACAATTAAATTAAATTGTTGATTATATTTCTGTTGATCATTAAACATTATTATCATTAACCAAAAAAACTGAATACAATTTAATTTGATTAACGTTGGTTTGACAGAGGTCCATGTATTTGATTGCTATTTAATTCAGTTAAATTAACTAACCAGTTTGTTTTTGATGATAATCAAAATTGATAAACTTACCTAACTAGTTAGTTTGGTTTGTTTTAATTATAAACTTTTCAAATTGTGATTATGACAATTTACTGATTTAAGATAATATAATCTGCTAATCTAAGGTCATTAGATTTAATTTAGTTTAACAATTTAATCATTTATCTGGTTTATTTCCAAGTCTATCAATAGTAAATTTAATTGTAATGATAACCTTCAATCACGATGATAATTAACTGGAATTGATTGAGAGAAAGATGAATGGATAAGTTTATTATTAGAAGTTAATTTGATTCAATTGTGATTAATTGATTTACATTCAATTGATTCAATTTTCAGGTTTACGATAATTGAGTTAATTGAATTAATTGATTGACCGACAAAAAATTGAATCAATTGTTGGTTCACAATGAGAAGGAAGCAAATTATCATTAGAATTGATTCAAGATTAAGAGTATCGGAAGGTCGGACTTTTAGACTTCGGACTCATCAACGGCCGCTAATTTGACCGCAGTTTTGAGCAACGGCGACAATAAGAAGGCTCCATCAACACGGTAACTGGTATCGTCTCCGATGACCTTCAGTATGGACACACCTTTGGGATTATTAACATTACATTCCTCTTGGTTTGAATAACGGGAACAAATTAATTCCATGACATCTTTCATTACCAATGAGATCGACGATCGTAGGAAATTTGTTGTGTCCCGATTAGCGTCACAATCGGCCCTTGATTTAGTATTTGTGGTGACACAATCGAGCATCGATGAGTAGATACAGCAAACATTTCCAACCATTTCGATTCCCGTTGAATTGTCGGAAGCAAAGTCGAGCTGACGATTAGCCTGATATAAACACTTATTCCAACCTTTTAAACTGTCACTCGAAGCACATGAAAGTATATCGATTGTATCTAAAGAAAAAGTTTAAAAATAAATTGAAATTCGAAAGTTTTTTGTTCTAAATACTCGAAATTACTTGATTTCTTCGTGGGGTTCGAGCAGATACTCTTGATGAAGTTTTTCATTCCATGTAAGAAAACGTTCAGCGCTTGACGTGAAAGTCCACTGAGACATTTACCGTATTTCCTCATACTTTTATAAACTGTCGCTCCAAGACTGATAATACAAGAAAGAGAATATGAATTAAGGTGTGTCCAAGCGACAATTGACCACAAATACTTACTCACAATGCTTATTAACAGCGTCCATTGTCGTAGGCCATTCTGTACGATTAACAAGTAGCACGGGTTCAACCAGAGCGGCCGTTTGATTGAACAGTACATCGCACGAGCCCGTGGCGTTGTTTTCCAATTCATCAGGGATATTTGCTGGTTTCTTTTATCAGCAGCTAAATGTTGTCAGATTTTGAAGATAATCAGTTAATTGTTTACCTACAAGTGTAAAAAATTAAATGTCTATTTGTTTACTTACCCTGAATTGTTATGAAACCTGTGAAAATAATGAAAACGGTAAATAGGATAAGCTTCATATTGATTTTTAAATTGTTCCCAATGTTTAATCAACTTAATGTTTCCAATGTAAATAGACAAATATTCTGGCCCTTTGGGTTGAGTGGCCATTTATATACCAAAGGTAAACCATGATGGTGATCAAATTTAGTGATTAGTTGATTTAGTTTGATCAATTTTGAAGATAACGAAATTATTTCCTTTGGATTTAATTTTTTTTCACTCAATTTATACAGAAAACACCTCAGGCTGTTGGTGAAAAAGGTATTGATTAAATTGTTGTTTACTATTCTGTGTGTGTGTTGATTTAGTTTCAATTTTAGAGGTCAACTGGGTCATAATTGCAATTAATTAACTATCATCATCATTAGGCAATGGAAATGTTTGCAAAAGAAATGGATTAATTAAATGACCATGGAGATGGATTAAAGTTTATAATGTAAACTGAAACAATTGCTTAGGATGATTTAATTATTGGCTAATTAATATTCTGGTTGATTGAAAGTTTTTCATTAACTTGATTAGTTGATTGTTTTAAATTTTGTTTTCCATTGATAACTGAATTAACCAGAGTGAATCCATTTGTTTATTGTTAATTGTTGATTGTTCAATTGTTTTGACCTGGTCCTGATTAATTTAGAAACAAAAATTTGGGAAAGATAATTAGTTAATTGTTCATGAATTACGTGAAGTTTTAATATTTGTTAATTGTGTTAATTAAAAGGTGTAAGTGGGTAGGTAGTGATTAGTTGAAGAATTGAATTTAATTGTTGGCAAGAATTAAATTTAATGGCAGATTTATTTGGGTAACTTGATCAAAGGAGGAAAAACATATGAGTTAATTGTTGATTGTTAACAAATCATTTTTTAGTTCAACAATTAAAACTAATTGTGATTCTCTTTCCCTTTTATTATTACTAATTAGTCTGTCTTCCTTTGCTGTCTATTAATTAATTGCTAATTCCTCATCATCAACAATTAACCAGACAATTTTGTTCCTATTATGTTCATGCTTATCAATAGTTAAGAAGTTAATTTAATTTAATTTTTGTTTCTCTTTCTTTTTAATTAACTAATTGTTCATTTCTTTTAAACAATGTATTTGTCAATGTGGATTATAATTAATGTTATCTGATCTAAATTTAGTTTTCATCGGACTTTACAATCAAATTTAATTTAGATTTTCAATCTTATACATATTACATATTAACTTATATTAGGTTCTTACCATTGATTAACAATTTATTAACTAATGGGTAGATTAATGATCAAATTGTTTGCCGTTCATTGGTTATCATGGTTTCTTGGTTCACAATTAGTTAATTGCAACAATGAAGCTTTCGATGTACTTGGAAAGGCTTTAATTACGCGAATGATGAGAAACGACGAGATGGAATTCGCTCTCGAAATGATTAAGATCAAAATCGACGGTTTTCTAAATAAGGCCAATCTGTCGGTTCCGTGTTCACAATTCCGTCGATTATTTTCCGCTGAACTAGAAAAGGGATCTTTTTGGACATATAATTGTAAGTAGACTGGACCTTCGATTTATGGTCAATTCTTTAGCAATTAACTTTCTCGAATAGATTTTAATTGTGATCAACTTTTTTCTAGTATTAGATTCACAAGCCAAGATCCCGACGGGACTTTTCATGGGGAAAATGAGATTCATTGGATCATATGATCAATGTTTACAATTAAATGTTGACCTTCGTCCATATAAATCTAAATATTCTGGTCTACCAGATACAATGACCACCCGTTATTGTCACTTACGGATTCCACTTCAAAAGTTAATGAACAATGTGCCCACTGAAATATTGAAATTGAAACAATTACCTCAATTCAAACAATTGCAGGTAAAATGTAATCAATTGTAATCGATTAACTTAACAATTAATCTATTGTTATTTTGTTTACTTTGATTCTTTATCAAAATCAGACCTCAGAATTAACTAATTTACGATCGTTAATTAGTGATTCAAATGCTGATCTAATGGATCCCGATATTCACATTTGTCTACCATCAACATGTACTAACGACGATATCAGCTCGATAATATCAACACTTAAAGGAGGTAAGAAAATCTAATTGGCAACAATTAACTTTCGTATTCTAACAATTTATTTACTAAGCAATTCAAATTGGCAAGACAATTCCTACGGAAATAAATAACTGTGATGATGGTTCATCGCCTCCTTGGGATGATTATGAGATTATCATTCTGTAAGTTGATCGTTGGAATGAGAAATTAGTTAATCGTTGGAAAAGATTAATTTTAATTGTATTATATTTGTAATCCTGGTTCTCAGAGGTTTCTTATTACTAATTGTTTGGATTGTATTGTTTGGCTCAATAATGGATTGGTATCATTCAAAGTACAAAATGAAACCTAAATTTAAGTTGATCAGTCTAACAATCAATTTCTCAGTGATTAAAAATGGTTCGAGTTTATTAAATACCAAAGAATCGGCTAATTCAATTTCGTGTCTTCATGGACTCAAAGCGATCTCAATGTTTTTCATTTTCCTTGGACATTATGGTTTAGCTCTGATGGCGAGTTTTGCAGGTAAATTGGTTGACAATTTAAGGAAGGAAAATTAATCAATCAATTGTTCTCTCTCATTTTTCTTCTATCAGTTGATACAATGGAACTTGATAGTCGAGCCAAAGAGTTCTGGACACAGATCGTTGTTAACTCTTCGGCTTGGGTTGACACTTTTTTCGTTATCAGGTAAACTTTTTTGGTCGATCTTTGTTTCACCTCAGTTACTTTGGAATTAATTATGATTCGGCAATTTAGTGGCCTTTTAGTTTCTTATCATATTCTAGACAAGGCTGGATCTTATTCTGCTCGATTCAAAGGGAAATCACGAAGAGAACAGATCAAAATGGCCTTTGATTACCTTCTTAATGCTTACATTTACCGTTATTTAAGGTAATCTTTTTGTTCTTGTTTCAAACTTTTCCTTTATAATCAAAATTGTTACATTTTAATGATCAACTTTGATTAATTAATCTCTCTTATCTCAAGATTAGCTGTTCCCATGATAATTGTCCTTCTTTTGTCAATAATTTGGAAGCGATTCGGCTCTGGACCTAATTGGTATCTCTGGTCACAAGAAATTACCGATACCTGTTCTAGAGATTGGTGGAAATTATTATTATTTGTAAATAATTTCTTCTCACAGAATATGGTTGGATTCGAGGTAAGTTCTAAATAGTTCGATCGATTTAATCATATTCATAATAATCAATGTCGTTTCCAGTGTTTAGGTCCAGTTTGGTACATTGCCAATGATTTTCAGTTCTATCTTTTAGCTCCGTTCATTTCCTTGTTAATCCTCACAAGGTAAATCATTTAATCCACTTTGCGATGAAAAGTTCTAATTCAATTTCGAACCTTTTAGACAACGATGGTTAAGTTGGACTATTCTAATATTGACCACAATTGGATCCATGATAATTACTGGACTAATTATCGAAGAGAAAGATTTAACACCGACAATTGTTTGGCACCCGAAAATGGTCAACGGTTATTATACTCACGTTTATATTAAACCTTGGTGTCGAATCGGTGCTTATTGTATTGGCCTTGGTCTTGGCGATATTTTGATTTTAACCAAAAGAAATCTAAAAATAAACAAGGTAAATTAATTTACCTGTAATTGGACTAATAATTAATTTTTCTTTCTGCTTGTTAATTGCTCTTAGACACTTAATATTAGTTTGTGGATACTTTCAATTGCTGTTTTGTTGGCTATTCTTTTGATGCCTTATCGTTTCAATTCATATGATTTTGATAAAATGGAGGCGATTATCTATGGGTCACTTCATCGTCCAGTTTGGGCGATGGCTATTTCCTGGATTATATTTTCAATCACTACCGGAAATGCTCCGGTTGTTGATAAAATATTGTCTTGGTCATTTTTGGTCATCTTATCAAGATTAACTTATGGAGCTTATTTAACTCAATATATTGTTTATTCAAATTTGATCCTTGCTAATAGGGTTTATTTAGATGCAACTACTTCACTTGGTGTAAGTTGATTGTTGTTAATTGTTGGTAATAATTGATTAGTATTGTTTTCCCTCTTTTTTTGCTAATAGCTCGCTCTGTTTTCTGGTAATTATATTCTTGGTTATGCTTCGGCTGTGATTCTAGCGCTTATGGTTGAATATCCAACGAAAAATTTCCTGGAAGAATGGTCAAGATCTCGAATGGGTGTTTCATCGACGGCAATTAAAGTTAATCAAGCAAATGGTTATGCTTTTACTGGAGATGTTAAATTAACTGCGGTCAATAAATCATCTGAAAGTGAAATGGTTAACAAACAGGGAGAGAAGCAATTAGATTGTTGAAAATGTCAAAACCATTTAGAGGGAATCAGTTACAATTATTGATCCTTTCTCAAAATAATTGTCTAATAACTGAATTAAAACAATAAATTACAGTTAATATCTTTTCATTTTTGTATATTTTTCGTCCAAAATGTAATATTTACAAGGAAAACTCTGGTTTTAAATTTTTTTTCCTCTCAAATTAATTGGTAGCAATTAATCTAATTTAATATTAGAATACAAAAAGTCTATAACGGTAATTTGTTCAGCTAATTTGTTGATTCTGTTCATATGTCGTTTAGTATATGATAAAAATCCTTCAACAATTTCCTTTGATTCGGATAAATTAAGGATCCCTTCTGGTCCAAGGAGGTTTAATGTTACTCTAAAAATTGATTGAGCTGCTTCACTATTTTTACTATTGGTATTCCAGTTAATTGCGTATTTAATTAACGATATTAGTTGATCTTCTCGTAGTCCTTTTAATGACGATTCAAGGATTTGTAATTTATTTTCATCAGGGCTGAAAAGTATCTCCTTGATAATGTTTAAAGCTCGGAAAGGTTGATCCAGTTTAATTGCTAATTTCAATGCTTTGGTCCATTTTCGTTGTTGAATGTAATTCATTAATTGCTGCTCATTAGCGATAAATAATTCATCCTTTTTAGCGGCTTCTTCAATCTTTTCAACTGTATCATCTTTCCATACGATCAACTGTGAATCTTCACCGCCACTAATCATTAATTGTTCATCACTGTTGATTGTTAGAGCCCAAATTTTGGCTGTGTGACCGTCTAAGGTTGTTGAACATTCACCTGATTTAACTGTCCAAAGTTTGAGGTTACCATCAGATGAACTGGAAATTATCTGAAGACCTTTGTTGACGAAAACAAAATTCAATACAGATGATTCGTGACTTTGAAGTGTCTTCAAACAACTGAAATCGTTTAGAGACCAGATTTTAATCGTAGTATCAGCTGATCCGGTGGCAACAATTGAATCGACCGGTGAGAAAGAGATTGACCATATGCCCCTGCGATGACCTTTCAAGGTACCAACAAGACTTAATTTGCTATCGAATGACCAAATCTTTGCCGTTTTGTCTTGTGAACAAGAGGCTAAAAGTTGATCGTTAGGCGAAACTGCGATAGCGTTAATATCACCATCATGGGCTTTTACAGTTTCCAGAGTGGAAAGAGCTTCTTCAGAGTCATCGTCGATCTTTATCTTGTTTGGAAGTTTCCAAACTTTCATGGTTGTATCTTCGGATCCAGAGAAAAGCCACTTGGTTGATTTGTTTGGAACACCGATAGATATAACTGACATGGAATGACCACTGGCGATGTATAAACATTTTGCTGACATTGTAATTGGATTAAATTCCCAGAGACGAATGTCATTGTCTTTCGATGAGCTTGCGAAAAGCGTCTTGGCCAGTGGATAAACTTGAACTGAAAGGACGTTCGAAGTGTGTCCTTTTATTATAAATGATTCCATTGTTTCGAGATTAAATAAAAACATATTCGGTGAATTCGTAGCTACTACAATGTGCTTCTCTTCTGATCCAACGAATTTAATGTCTGTCACTTGATCGATAAATCCTATCGATTGTCGAACCAAATTAAACTCAGCCAGATTATAGAATAAAATATTTCGTTCAAATGAGACAACAATTAATTTAGATAGATCAGGATGAAGTAAACATTGGATAATAAATTCATTTGGTTGTTGATCATCATTATCGGTTGACTCCTTTGTTTTTCCTGTTATTGAATTAATCTGAGTGAATACACAGCTACCAGTGCTAGTGTCCCAACCCTTGACGACACCTTTAGGTCCACCGGTAAGGAAAATTTTTCCCTTACTCTTTTTTACATCAAGAAAACCCGTTTCAGTGCCATGAGGAAGTAAAACCATTGATTCAACAGCTTCGAAAAGAGGAATCTTACGAAGTGATATTCCATCGTCAATAGACCAAACAATTGCCAACATATCACGACTTGCAGTTATAACGATATCTTTATCATCTTGTGAATAAAATTGTATCCCAATGACTCGACTACAATGGCCTTCGAGACGGGCAATCAGTTCACTATCTTCCAATCTCCATATATTAACACAATAATCTAGATCACCCGAAGCACTGATCATCTTGGTTCCTGATGGGTTGGTGTAAAATTGAATACAGGAAATGATACCTCGACATCCTTTCAAATGATGAGTACAATATTGTTTAATTACATCCCAAACCTTAACAATTGTATCACCGGAACCAGAAGCTAAGAGATCACCTTTTCCTCCACCATCAATGGCTAAAGTAGAAACTGGACCAGTATGAAGACTTTTCCATGTTCTTTTCAAGTTGGCACCCTCACTATTCCAAGTCCATTCTTTAAGAAGACCACTACGATAAGCAGCAAATACTTTGTCCACTCCATCATGATGACCAGTGACAAAATCAATCACTTCATCTTCAACATCTTCAGAAATTTTCTCTCTAATACTGGCAACCTCAGTTCCATCAGAAACAGAAGATATTTTAATTGTATCACCAGTAGATGTTAAAATATGATCACCAGAATCATCAATCTACAAAGAAACAAATTAAAACAAACCAAAAGTCAAAAATGGATCAACAATTAACAAACAAACAAAAAACCAAACAATCAAAATCACTTACCCTAAGGTAACCATGAGTGAATGAAGCTTGGATCCGATGTTGAACCTTAAAACTAGAAAAATGAAAACCCAACAATTAATCAACAGTCATCAACTTAATTACCCCCTTAACTTACCTTTCTTTTAAATTAATCTTCATAGTTAATTATTACAAATCAAGAGAATTAATTGTAAACAACATTAGTGGAAAAAGAAAAACAATTTAAAAAAGATACACGTTTTCGCGAATGAGTCACTCGTTTCCATGGAAATTGTGTAAATAGAAATTTTTTTTTCTTCTGGACAGAGAACCAGATTTTAGAATTTGTCACTTTTAAATTGATTTTATTTCCTTATGAACCTTTAATTGTGATTAAATCTAATTGAATTTATTTTAATCGTGTCGAAATCTAGATGACCAATATGATTAAAAGCGATTCCAATACTCATGGGCCTTTGATGCTGTAAGTATGAAACAAGAATCATTTTGTGTTTTTCTTGGTAAAATTTTCATTTGCTTTTTTTTCTTGATTTGATTGTTATTTTTTTCTCAATCTCTTTAATTGTTGATTGTTAATTCATGACTTATCTTGTATTATTTACTATGTATTTTGTGTTGTAATTTATATTTGAGGTTGAATTTTATTCTATTCTATTTTATTTTCTTTCTCTTTTTCTTTTAGCATCACTGGAACTGACAGATTTTATATCCATCCAATTGGTAATGATACCGAGCTAATGGTTGTTGATAGGATCTCTCATAATGTAGGTCTTGAGACTAATACTGGACAATTAAATGTCGAAGGGATGTTTAGCCGACAGATTCAAGGTATTCTTGGGATAGTTAATCTTCTTGCTGGTCCTTATTTGGTTGTTATCACTCGATCGGTTAAAATTGGTGAAATTTACAATCAACCAGTTTATCGGATTGAAGATACTGATGTTATCTCTTACACTCGTAATACCCTCCATTTAACTGAGGAACAGGTTAATTATAATAATTCTTACCTTAATATGGTTAAATGTGTCCTCCAAACTCCGTATTTTTATTTCTCGTACTCTTACGATCTCACCCATTCTCTTCAACGATTGTACAATTTTGGACCAGATTTCATCAAAACCTCTTTGTTTGAAAGAGTAAGTTCATCGAAAATTAAGATTTCTAATCCATTCATCATGGTTAAATTGTTGATTCTATCTAATTGTTACATTTTCAGGCTGAGCAAAAGTTTCTATGGAATCACCATTTGATGAAACCTCTTCTCATTCAACCGGAGCTTTCTAAATATTGTTTACCCTTGATGCATGGATGTAAGTATTATAATAGATATTAAGATTTACCATTAATCATCAATCAGGAGTGATTCTTATATAATTTTGACTGTCAATTATTTGGTCTTATTAGAGTTTAAAGTAATAATAATAATGATCAATCTCTCTACCAAACAAGCAAGGAAAATAAGGTCCCTTCAACATCCGATTGATTAACCTTGTATTCATTGAACTTTTCTCGGTGTTGAAACCATTTCGAAAGACGAGAAAAAAAAACCCTCGAACCTTGAAAATTTTCACTCCTTCCTTTTACCATTTAGATTAGATATTTGTATTTTCTTTTGTTGATTTTCTTTGTTCTCTCTGTTTAGTTATCAATATAAGTTCGGTTGTTCTGAATAGGAAAGTTTTCCATTGGATTGTTATTTCACGACGAAGTAACCACAGAGCTGGAACTCGATTATTCTGTCGTGGTGCTGATCTCCAGGGGAATGTTGCTAATTTCGTTGAAACGGAACAGATCGTTGAATGGGAAAACAATCGTGGAAGTCATGTTCAAATTCGTGGCTCTATACCATTGGTATGGCAACAATATCCAAACCTACGATACAAACCTCAACCTGTAATTGTTTCCAATCAAATGCAACAAGAAGTAATCACAAAGCACATTGAAAGTCTTCTTATGACTTATGGTAAAACCGTTTTAGTCAATCTGATCGATTTAAAGGGAACCGAACTTGCCCTGGAGCGAAATTTACGAGTTGCCTGTGAGAGTTTAAACAATCCTATGGTTCGATATGAGCATTTTGAGTTCCATCGGGAATGTGGTAAAATGCGATGGGATCGACTTAATATTCTAATGGAACGATTATCCCAAGAGCAAAAAGAATTCGGTTATTTTCTCCTTCTCTCTGATGGAACCGTTCAATCTCAACAAGAAGGAATTTTCCGTACCAATTGTATCGACAGTTTGGATCGAACCAATGTAGTCCAAAGTTTAATCGCCAAGAAAATTTGGCTGATCTTTTACTTCGCTTTGGAATCATCAGTCATGGTGATCGTATCGAAGATCATACTACTCTTTACAGTTTATTTCGAAATGGTGAATAGAATTAGATAATTTTTTTCTTTGACCAATATTATTTTTCGATCAATTCGATTTTATTGATTTCTCTTTTCTAATCAAATAGTTTGGGCTGATAATGCTGATATTTGTAGCATTGAATATGCTGGAACGGGAGCTCTTAAAACTGATTACACTCGAACTGGAAAACGAACTCAAGTGGGTCTAATTCGTGATGGAATCAACTCTCTCATCAGATATTATAAGAATAATTTTACCGATGGATTCCGACAGGTAAGTTTGATGATTGAATCAGTAATTTACCAGAATTTAATTCATTACCCTAAACCTAGGACGCTATCGATTTATTTCTCGGGCGATATATGATCAATGAAAACGAGGGTAAATCTTCACCAAGTCCATTGAAAGCGAGAAAAGATTGGAAATATTTAGCAGTAAGTTAACTTTTCGACTGAATTTCATTTCAATTCTCACCACAATTTATCAATTAATTTCTTTAGTTACCATGTATGTTCCTTGGGTCAACTGCTATGTTTTTCTTTAGTCTATTCATTCCAACTGGTAAGTCTAACAAACTACAAGACGATTAAATCGTAATTAACTGAGATTCTTATTGATTTAACTTACAGAACATTCAACAATCACCTTGATGTACCTGCTATTTTGGGCGACAATGATTGCTCTAAGTGCGACCGTAATTGTTTTCTATGGGACTGAGTTTGTTGACGTTCCGAGATTATGTCCAATTAAACGAAACGAAGCAAACAATTGACTAGAGATTGCGTGACAATTAACACCAAGGGTGGAAACGTAATCATCTTGATCAATGTGAAAAAGCAAAAGATGAAACCAAATGATAAAAATGATTGAATTGACATTCAAAGTTATATAATTTATATAATAAATTATGTTCATAATTTAAAATTTCGGCTTAAAAATTAGACTTTGCATCAATTGTAATCATCAAACAATTACAATACACATTCAAAGCTATAATTTAAAGGACATTCATTAGAAATTCATTAAATTGAAACAATGAATCAAAAGGTTAATCAATGGAGCAAAAACGTTAAAGATTGATGTTAATTGATTTAACTTCTCTCTATTGACAGTTACTTTCACTCATTAATAGATCACAATCATTAAAGTAATTAACTGGTCCAGTAAATAGAAAATATTAGAAACAAATCTAATCATTGGTTATGCTAAAGTGCAAAAGGAAAACATTATGATTGATATTTAATTTACTCTTTACAATTAATTTCGCATCTCAAGCGAATCAATGATTAAGTTGATTGATTGGAAAATCGATTAATGCTGGTGTGATGCCTGATGATTAGTTGGATTAACTTGAAGCAATTAAATTGATTGACAAGATCATTGAAACAAGAAAAGCAGAAAGTTTTTAATTTGTTTGATATTTTCTCCAAAAAAATATGACATTTAACAAACAAATTTTTAACTATCATTTAAATAGTGATTAAACTTATCCAGAGCAATTGGTTTATAGTATTTTAGATATTTGTATTGATATAACAAATCACTTCGATAAAATTAACTTCGAGGAAATTCAAAATCACTGGGGTTATTCAGCAGCATTTATAATCATCTTCAATTGTTCAATTTTTTCTCCAAATTACTTATAAATTTTGGGTTCATTTGTATCCATGTTTATATATAATTATTATATTTATATATTTAAGTATCATCTAAATATATATTGGCACTTGAATGAACTTTTCCTTTAATATTGAACGATTCCTTCTGTCAGCTTCAGCAAAAGTGATTCTCGAGATCAAAAGTGGTGTTTTTATATCTAAATAATTATATTTTCTGAATGTATTTGCTCGTCTCCTTCTCAACGAAAAGTGAATTATTTTAAAATCGTTGATGATGGTGACTGGAAATTGACTTGGTAAATGTTCATGATGCCACAAGAGATCCTTTTGTTTCTTTCTATTATTTGATTGTTCCGATGAGAATTTTCTTGATCATGACTTGAATATTCTCACAGCTCGAACAACATATTGTCGACAAATTGGACATTCGTTCATACGTTTACCACAATCAATACAAGTAACAACGTGGCCACACTCGAGAAGGACACAGTCGATTAACTTTTCCATGCATATTTTACAAGCACTATCATCATCCAAATCCTCAGAACCTTAAATTTCAAGAACAAAAGAAAGTCAAATAAACAAAATCAATTAGCGACAAAATTGTAACAATTAATATTCTTTAAAAAGATATAATTACCTCTTTCTTTGGCTTTGTTGACATCTCTCCACAATCGAATGGCTTTTTCGAGCAATTCTTCTTTCTCACAACATCCTTTGAAATCGACAAAATTACGAGTTAACAATAATTTAATTTGGCGAATACTGAGATCACGAATCTGATCCTCACTGTTTAAATCATCAATGTTAAATGGTTTAAAATCATTGAGATTGGACGTTGAGTTACTTTCATAGGAAATGTTTTCCTTTGACGTAGTTTCCTCATTTTGATGATCCGTTGAACGAGATGTAGTTGCACTTGTTGTGGTATTTGTTGAGCTATTAGTATCATTAATATTATTATTATTACCAGTAGCTGATGTAGTATTTGATGAAGTAATTAATGGAGTGTTGTTGGTGTTGGTATTGGTATTGGTATTATTAGTATTATTGGTATTGGCTCCAGAAGCATTTTCTTGTGAAGCAGAATTGACATCAAATGATGACCGGTAACCAGAATCATCGGGATCAACGAATACCCAACTGTCATCTGTCCCTTGACGGTGAACACGATTCGGTGTATCATTTGAGCTTGTCGTATTTGAGCTTGTTGTTCGACTATTTAAAGGACTGGTGGGATAAGAATTGGGTGGTGAGTATAAACGCCTAGCATGTTCACCAGTACGAAGAATTAAATCAACCAATTCCGATTTTTCCTGTAACCAGAGGAAGAGATTATAATCAAAAGCTGATAGATAAAACAATTCAGTTTACAATTTACCTTACAAAAGCGATGAGGTATACGCTTTTTATCCATATACCATTTAAGATCTTTGATTCTCAGTTCGAGAAGAGAATGTCTTTCAAGAGGTTGCATATTGAATATTCGACATCGACGACATCGCGTCCGACGAAGGCTTGCGAAAAAATCATGATTAGTATCTTTGGGAAAACAATTAACACAGTAATCCATACTACAATCCGAACAAGTTTTCTGTTGAAACAATAAAGAGAAACGTTAAAGGTAAGAGGTTGAATACAAATCACAAAATAAAATGAGATCTTGTTTAGTCGGATTAATGATTGATGCAAAATGAAAGATGTGAAAGATTATAATTACTGAGATTAATATTTATCGTTATCAGCAATAAAGATTAACTTGATTTTGCTTTCTTAATCAACCATATTGATTATCTAATTGTCAGATACATTTAAAGATAAACTCAATTGCTTCATTGTGAATTAATTGAGCACAATGTTGCTTTTCTTTAAAGATATTAATAGGCATCAATTGCGCTTCTCAGCTGATCAATCGACAAAAATAAGTCAATAATCAAATGAAATTCTGATGTAAAAAGAAATATAATTAGAATTCAAGGTTAGATCATCGTTTTCAGGGATAACCGGTGCTCAGGACAATTGTTCACGATTAGATTACTTAACAAAAATGAACCTGTAATTTCAATCGGACGTTGTGATGTTCCAGGTAGTGATGGGGGATGAATCTAAATTTAAACAGTCAACATATCAACGTAATAAAATAATGATGTAACTATATCAACTGATTAGCAGGTAAAATTAGATAAAATTTAGTGGAATAAAATGGCGAAAATGATCAAAAATTGATTAGTCAAGTGAGTGCAAGTTAATCTTTTTTTTCTCCATTTTCTAAAATCATATCACATTTAAAAAGATAAAAACAAACCTCTTGATAGAACATCTGAACATGTGTAAATAGAGTAGAATTAAATAGCTATCAAATCAGAAGAAAATATGACTCATAGGCTAAAGATAATCCAATAATCATAGTTGATTGAAATTAAGAATTAACCAGAAAACAGTTTAGATTATGAGATAACGTAATAAATGTTGAATGATGATTGATTATAAAAAACAAACATACACACCTATGTGTCTGTATAGTTACATAATAGATCAGAGTAAGTAATCAGATTGAGAGAGTGAATGATGATGAAAGAGAGAGAAGAGAAAAATGTAAAAGATACTGACCTTCCGTTTAAGAAAATGGAATTTGATTCCACAATTTTCACAAACCATGATCACTCGGGAACCAGATGAGTTGGTGGGTCCAGGTGATGAAGATGATGAAGATGATTCGTTGCGAGAGGTTGGTGTTGTTGATGATGATCGTTGTTTAGGAATCAAAGTTGATAAATTTGGTGAAGAGAATCGAGCTGCTGAGAAAGTGTCAGTAAGGTTTGATAGATTGATGCTAGGAAATTCAAAAGAAAAATTAAACCCATTGGTGTTGTTGGTTGTGGTTGATGATGAATCTGCAGTAGGTGGTGATGTGGTTCGGGTTGATGAATTGTTACCTCCACCAAAGATTCCACCAGTACTATTAGCCCTTGGATTAGTTGTTCTATTGGTTGAAGATGATGCAGATGAGGATGATGATGAAGATTGAGGTGCCGTTGAACGATTAAAGAACGTACTTGCATTCATCCCAAAATGGATTAGTTAATACATAAAATAGAAAGAGAGTGAGAAGAATAAAGGGAAAATGAGGGAGAGAGAGAGAGAGAAAGAGAGGGAGAGAGAAACACCAGAATAGAGACAGGAGAGGAGAGAAAAATAGACAGAAAAGAAGATGAAGAAAAAAAGGTAAATAATTCACACGTTGCTTCAATTATTTTCTTTAGTCTTAAAAAATGAAAACAAAAAAAGCGAAACCACCAAAAAGGAGGAGGGAGAAGTGAGAATTTCTCTCACAAAAAGAGACAGAAGGAAATGAGAAAATTCTCTTTCAGTTGTAATCAAACAAACTCTCAAAATTCATGTTGACAATTTAATTGAATTAGATGAAGTGACGATTGAAGAAGTACCAAACCATCCCAATTAAAAACAGAGATTCGTTGATTAAGATGCTAATGTTGATGAAAAGAAAATGTCGACATAAACTAGAGAAAACAATAATAGATGATGAAGATGATGATGATGATGAAAGGGTAAGAGTTGTTGTGAGAAATAAAAACAAGGAGAAAATGAAAGATTCCGAATAAAAAAAAGAAAGAGAAGAAGACAGACAATTGGGCAGACAGAATAAACTGAGAATAGAAAGAAAAGAAAGAAAATGATAAACTTATTACTATTTAGGAGGTAAAATCAAGAATAAGGATAATTTAAATTAATTAGAAAGAGATAAAGTTAATCCAACGGGCGAAGGTTTAATTATGAAGAAAAGGAAAAAGAAAGGAAAAGGAAAAAGGGAAAACCTTCAAGAAAATTCTATTCTTTTTGTGGAACATTTTTGTTCTCTAATCGAATCCCCTAAGTAACAGTTGAACTGTTACAGTTCATTTTCTTGTTCGGCTTTTGGGGCAATTAAAATCCTTTGTTCTCTTCTGCTAATTAATTAAACGGTTTCTTTTTCTAATGATGTAATTGTTTCTTGTTAATTTCTAATGTTTAATGAGTTAATTGTGATTCCGGTGTAACAATTTAATCGGTTGTTTCAAGTGTTCATGTCTATTGGTTTGTGTCGCTTTCGGTGGTGTTGGTTTGGTTTTGCTTCTTTGAGACAATTTTTAGTTTTCATTTTGACTTTTAAATTGTTGATTTTATTTATTGTGATTTATTAATTGTTGTTGTTGGTGGTTTTCTCCTTGTGGTGCTCCCGCTTAATGATAATTTAGATTTGTTTAGGGAAACTCACGCAAAGGCCTTGGTATTGGAAAGTAAACAAATTACTATGAAAGAGGTAATTTGTTTAAATCAAGCAACCGAAACACAATCCAGGTAAATTAAGTTTAATCATTTTCTGTTCCTTTGATTAATTCATTTTGTCTACTTTTTTATTGTCATCAAGTTAATTCAGTTAAATCCAGGAATTACCTGTAGATATATTTTTCGTTTGTAAATTTAAATGACAAGGAACAAGTTTCTTTCATTGAAATGAAAGAAATAAGTTTAGTTTGTTGTTTTTTGTTTTACAATCAATTGTAATTTTTCTGTTGATTGTGTCAGATCTCAGAGAATATCAATTGATATTTTTGTTAATTGTTTCAATATCTTTTGTCTTCAATCAACATTAAGATAGAGTCAAAACCTTGAAAACAATTAAAAAGTGATTATACTGCTAAAGGAAACTGCTGGTTAATGTTTTCTTATTGTTAATTTTAAGCTTTCAATTTGTATCGTAATTATTTTGATTGATTGATTGAGTTTAATCAAGTTTAATTGTCATTGGACAGTTTACAATTACATAAGAATGAAAAAAGATAAGACTAAACAAGGAGAGATCATATTTTTCATTAGTCTTTTGTGTCTATTGATTTTAATTATGTTTTCAGCTTTAAATTACTTGGAATCAAAAAGATCAGATGAAGAGGAACCAATTGTGATCAAATCAAATCAAATTCAATCGTTTCTTTGGATTCTTGGTAATTATTCTAATCAACAATCAACTCCGTCACTTGTAAATGATACATTTGGATATAATGTAAGCAATAGTGAAGGTAATTTAAATTCTGTGTCAACAATTACCTTTCATTCAAGTGAAGTTAATTATTCTGAATTTGATCCAAGTGTCAATGGAACTAAATTACTGTCTCATCAATTTAAAAATTGTTCCTTCCCATCATCGAATGACCATCGTTTTCTTGATTATTTGTGCAACAATCAACAAATTATCCTGTTTTCAATTCGAGCTCCTGATCGTAATTTGATTAAAATTAATGGTGGCCTTTATTATTCAATTCAGTTAATTAGGGTATTCAAATCAACAAATAATCTTAAAAAAGCTTTACAAAAAGGTATCATTATATTCACAGGTAATCAATCAAATAACAATCAATTTAAACGTGGCCATGTTTATCTGGTTACAGTTACACTAGAAAATAATTTACCTTTAATCACTAATTGTGATCTTAAACTAGACTGGAATTCATTACCTTATGAGGTGAGAAACAATTTGATCAAGTTTTTTAATGAACCAACAACATCTTGTATTTTACATAATTACAAGATTAAATCAAAATTTAATTTCGTTGGTTAGATTAAATTTCTTAATCATTTAGTTGAACTTACACCGAGAAATATGATTTTATTTGCCAATTTGAGTTAACTAAATTAAGATTTTAAATCAACTTTTGAAACTCTAACCCAAAGTGTAACATAAACCAAAATCCAGATTGAAAGAGACTAGAAAATCATAACTGGATTAATTAACTTGTTGTTATCACTAATCAACTGCAATATCTAATCACGATAAAAAATGGAAACTGTAATTGAATTTATTCAAATGATCCAGATGATAAGTTGATTAACCAGAATAATCATTATGAATTAATTTCTGCCACAAGAGAGAAAGAAAGAGAAAGAAAAACAATTAGACCAAATTGATCAACAATTAACTTAAATGAAAAGTGAAAATGTAAACAATATCTCAGATCAAAACTCCATTCATATGGATGATTATCAACAGAATAACATTTTTGATTGTCAGTCAAATTTAATCAACACGAATCATTATTAACTTTAAATGATCATGTTTCTAATCAATTTATTGACCTAATTGTTGTTAATTGAATAGATAAAATGTAATCTGTTTACTTTTAATGATTACACTTAAATCCTGTTCAATTTGTTGATATTTTAATTCATCCTCAAACCTTTTACTTGATCATCATTGATAATTGTTAACCACAAACATTAATTATATCATTGGAATATCAAATTAACATGATAAACTAATTATTTACCTTTTGTTTTGATAATGTAAATGACGATTAATAAATAACTAAAAATATTTAATCATTTACGTTTATCACGAAAAAATGATTCTCTGATCAAACAATTAAGTTGATTTGGTTGCTTTTTTCTCGTAACGTAAAAAAGACTTTATATAAATCAATAGATGACTTTGGGAATAAGTTAATTGTTCTAGGTGTTGATTGGAATATATAAGAAGTCTAAACACTCTGAGGGGATGAATTAAAGATAAATGATACAATTTTTTCTGAGGAAAAAAATGTTAGCAATAAAAATTATATAATTAAAAGAGTTGATTAGTTGATTAATTAACAGTGTCTTCATTGACAGCACCTCGATGTTGTTGTAATAGGATTGCAGCTCTCATATAGATTGGACCACCTAAAGAAGTAAGAAAATTTGATTAGTAAGAAAACTGAAATTATCGAATTTCATTTGTTAATTGTTACCTTGATTTGATGCATGAGCTGGATGAATTGGTGGTTGGAAACATTTAACATGTTCAATTGTGTTGCCTTCACTTGATGGCGATGATAAATATTTGTTTAAAATGGAAAAAATTTGTGAATTTAGAACTTGGAATCTCCTGATTCGATCGACCATCCGTTTAAGTGGAATCCCTCGAACAATTTGATCTTTACCATCGACTCTTTGTACTTTGAGTAAATGATAACTGAAATCAAGAGTTTCGAATCGCCTTTGTTGACCTAAAAGGGTAATCATGACACATCCCGCCCAATTAAGTCCTTCGCCGAATAATTGTTCAACTGTCCATTCGCCGTCTCCCACTGGGATCGAATAGACAAATTGAAGCGCTGACCATAGACGGTGGAATTCAATACACTCGTCAACATAAATGACTCCATTCGGAGGTGGACCATCGGTTGGTCCGATCCATCGAGCGGCTTGTTCCTCGTTTTCTACCATGATATCCCGAATTCGGCCTAGAACAGCTTCAAATATCGAGAGGCCACAAATTAATCTTTCTTTAGTTAACAGGTCACCTTCTCGGGCAATTTGACCTTGTTTGTTTGATCCAAAACGATCAATATTGGCAACTACTTGAAGTGGTGCGTATTTGGCTTCCAGTCTTTTTATTTTAGTCTCTGGTTTCTCTTGGTCTTTACAATAGGGTCGTGGAAAACAGTTCTGAAAGGGCGCGGCTTGAACGAGGTCACAGACTTCCTCTTGTGATAAACTGTGTTCGATGAGGAGACAAAAGATGACCGCATTACCGATCTCCCGGAAACATTGGAAAAGCTCTGTTTTTACATCAGGATATTGAATTATGTCACGAAGTTGAGCTTGATAAAATTCCAACACTCCACTTGAACCGTATTCATATAATGGCAATTTACACAATTTTGGCATCGCTTTCATCAGTGTTTCCACATATTGAGCAATGGTTCCTTGGATTCCCGTTTTCATGATACGAAGTAGCTCCTCAATGATTACAGCGATTCCCTGGTAGCCTAGGACACGACACATGGCTCGAAAATGAGGAGCACCGATAAACCCTGAATACTGATTAAAGATACTGGCATAGGCCACATTTAGAGCCTTAGTACCATAAAAATAGTACGGAGGTTGTTGCATCGGGATTAAAGCTGCCCGATCACGATGATAGTCCATGTGAGGGGCGAGATTGGGTGCTTTAGAAGGGACTCGAACAAATCGATTAGTTGATGAATTGTAACAATAGGTGGGAAGAAAATTGTAATACAGATCAAGGAAAACATGAAGAGTTATACTTCCATAGGGAGCGGAGACATTGTGATTTGCTTCTTTGAAAATGGAATCAAAACTGTCCAACTCGACGTGTTTCGACAAAAGTTTGTGTGTATGACGATTAACGGACATTAATCCTTCTAATTCAATGATACCAGAAATGTCACCGGATTCAAATCGACGAATAGCATATTCTAAACTTTTCAACATGTGGGCATTGAGACGTTGAGCAATTAGACGATTAAGGTCAATGGTTCGACCTAAAAGTTGAAGATGTCGTTGTCTCATTAAAGTTTCATATCGATTTGCTTGAGGCCAAGCAAATTTTATTCCGTGAATCTGAGCTTCAGATCGGAATCTTTTATCCAATAAAATGGAACCAGCAAGATGCTTATAATAAGCAAAAATTTGCTCCGATAATTTGTAGACAAACTGATCGAAACAAAGATTCACTTCCGCTTCAACTTCATCATAAAGATATTGTTTGCTGAATTTGTACAAAGCACAGTGAGCAGCGTCATTGTAAAGATCTAGGGGATAGAGAACACATTCCATCATGGAAGGATCTTTAGTCTTCAATATTTGATCAGTCAGAATCCAGGGAAGAGACATTTCAATGGGAAACTGAAAACAATTGAAGAAAAAATAAATAAGAAATAAATTATTGTCCAAGAGAAAATCCATAGAATAGGAAAATAAATAATTACCTGAATTCTTTTGCCCATGGTCATTTCAAGATAAAATTTTCTGTACCAAAGTTGTGATAAATCACAACATTCCTTAAAGTTTCTGAAATAAATATGAAGAAATTAAGTCGCAGTATTAATATATCGAAATTTAATCGATCGTTGATTGACTACTTACGGCTAAAATTGAGCAAATAGTTCCAGAAGAAACTGTTCTTGTGAAACTGATCGATGGCTAAAAGGTAATTTCCGTCGATATCTTTTCGCAAGGTTCGTTTTCCACTGGCCGCTTTATCGGAGATGAGACTTTCCAACATCGTCCGTACCATATAAAGCTGTGTACTTCCTGGACCAACATTTCGTCGAGGAACTTGCATGTCAACCTCGCTCATTGAACTAGAAGATAATTTGTTTCCTTTAGTTAATGGATCTTCAAACCCTTTAGCCCAATCGGCACAAGTATCTCGAACAGATGATAAAAGAGTTCGAACTAGATCTTTACGATTTTTGATTGCTTTTCTAAGTGGTTCTCGAAGTGTTTTCTGGACAAAGTCTTGTAATTCAGCGTAAATTGAATAACCTATTGCATCGGTAAACACAGTTTCCATTCTGTGCATGAGAACTTGTAATCCTTTAACCATGGCGATCATATCAATTAGTGCAGCTTTCTCATCTTCATTATAATTATATCGAGTTACTCTTTCATACTCTTCGGCTTCAACGGGACAATCTTTATTCTGATGATGATCAGTTGGATTCATTAGTTTCCACGAATAAAGCTCCATGATATGGGAAGTCCATTCGGATAATAATTGGAGACCTCGAAGTGCAAGACAAAGAAGTTGCTTGTTTTCTGCATCAGATCTTGGTGCTTCTTTCACCGTTGTGGTCACTTCATTGGAATAACGAGAAAGTTCAGATATGTAAGAAACATAATCTTCCCTGATTGTAGGTAAATGTTGAAGTATATCAGCCTGTGTTGAAGGTGTTTGTGAATTAGAGGCTAATGGCCATTTAGTTGGATCGTAATTGGGAGTTTTGTTGATATAAGTAAGAATTGGTGATATTTGCATGTCTCCAAATAGTGGAACCATTTCAAGGGATTTAAATATCTTATCAATACGACTTAAGTTGATTCGTCGTTTTGTGTCCAGTTTATTGATATTACAGTTCTTAGAGTCTTTAGAATCAAGAAGGAAAAGTCCAAAACCGATAACCTGAAAGAGAATTGGGAAAAAAGAAAGATGAATACGTGAAAAAGATACAAAGAATGAGAAAATCGACAAACCTTGACTAGCATATGCTTTTCCCATGGAAGCATATACATTTTACTTTCGTACATGTGTGTACATAGATTTATAACATCGGCAAGAAGCTCTTCGTAGCCAGAAATTTGTTCTAACTGTTCTTTCAATGAGTCACGAATTTTATTCCTCATTGCTAAAAAAAGTGATAACTTTTGACTCTCTTGGAGAGAATGTGAGTCAGATAATTGTTTAAGAGATTGTGAGGCTCGTCGATATGCAGCATAGTCATTTTTCACCGAGGCTTTGATATTTTTCAACTCATCAAGAACAGCTAACATATTCAAAAATTTTCCCAAAGTTAAAAGGTAAGTCTCAGATACAAAAGTGTCATGTTTCCGTTTGCTAGAGCTTGAATCTCCTCCACCAGATCCTTGATTATTGTTTGGAGATAAACAAAGACGCTTGATTTCAGAGCAGAAACGTTTGATAGCAGCTTCTTGGAAATACATGAAAGCCAACAATTTATCAACCTCTGGACCAAGAACCTCAACAGTTTTCTCAATCATTTCCAATCGATTAGGTTGATCTTTATCTTTTGGCTGTGGAATCGCCCGAGAACAACATCTCCAAGTATATAACATAACTGCATGTTTTTCACCTGAGAAAACAAAAGTACCAATAGAATAGAATAGAATAAAAAGAAAACAAAAATCATGATTAATAAAGCTCTCATAATAAGAATCGTTTTGACAATTTGATCAGATGAACAACAAAACAAACAGAAAAAAAATGTTTACCTTCTTCTAGCATTTGATTCAATTTAGATTGGTAGTTGGCTTCCTCAAGGTACTTGGCAACACCACAGACAAAAGCATTTTTATCCTCAAAATTTGTATCCAAGTTAAAATGGTGAACAATTGACTTTGCTTGCCCCTGAATACAATGTTGCTCATCCGGCAGCTCAATTTCATCCAATACTTCAACATTGGCCATGGCATCAGAAAGAGTAACTTTGATACCCTCTTTGTTGGTCATTTCGTCCATCATCATGAAAGATTATCGCAAATAGAACACCGAGAAATGTACAACGGAGGGTTTGTAGAAAAAAAAAGACTCACTGATTGTGGAGATTATCAAAATTAAATTAGAAAATAAAATAAAAAACACACCCAAATTGTAAAGTGAAAAAAATGACAATTAAAAGATGAAAATATTTGAAACTTTCATATTGGAAAAATGTTCCAAACATCAACACCAGAGGCTCCACATTCGTTATTCTCATGAACAAACAGTAGAAGCGCGAATTTCAAACAATAGAATTTACAATCTCATCATTTTATTTTCATTCCAAATCAAGAGAATCAAATGTTTTGTTTCGTTTAGTTTAATTAGTTTTATTTTTTACTAATTAGAAAGGATAATTTCGTGGTGATTAAGGATTAAGAGGTAAGAAGATCAATACTGTGGAAATAAACAAAAAGCTATTTCAACGATCCAAGATATTAATTAGTTACGAACCAGGTGAGTTGATTAGTGTAATTGTTTTGCTTTCTTTCATTGAATTAATTGTTCAGTTTTTAATCAAATTTTGTTATGTTTTCCTCATTGTGTGTTTAGTTACAATCAATTGTTAAAATCAACTTGTCTCATGTTTGTCCGACTGATTTGAATTGAGTTTGTGATTTGAATGATGAGCACATTACCTGAAGCTAATCAAACTTATGGTACTAAGGATTATTGGATTAGTAGATTTAATCAAGAAAATGTCTATGAATGGCTTGTTGATTATCAACAATTAAAAGCTCATCTTGCTGAGAATATCAACCAAGATGATACAATATTAATCTTAGGTAAGTTTTTCTATTCTTTCTTTAATTGCCTTACAAGTGATTATTTGTTTTCTTTTGTTATGATTCATTTGAATGAGAAAATATAGAAACAATTTGACTGAATTTAAAATTATTCTTTTTAATCTAATTCTATTCTCTATTCTATTCTCTATTAACAGGTTGTGGTAATAGTTTACTCGGTGAAAAGCTTTACAATGATGGTTACAGAATGATTATCTCCATGGACTATTGTGAAAATGTAGTCGGAAACATGTCGCTTCATTGTGATTCCTGTAAATCCATTAATTGGTTAACAATGGATGCAACCAATATGACAATTAAGGATAATTGTATTGATGTTGTTCTAGAAAAGGCAACAATTGACACTTTTCTTGTTGGTGAAAAAAATCTCTGGTCTCTTTCACCTTCTTCCATTGAAAAAGTGGATAAAACTCTTAGTGAAATTAGTAGATTGTTGAAACCTGATGGAAAATTTATTTCTCTCTCATTCAATCAACCTCATTTTCGAGGGAAACTTTACTCTAATGATAAATATGATTGGAGAATCAAATCAATTGATACAATTGGAGTTAATTTTCATCACTATTTGTATGTTATTCAAAAAGGATTATCTCAGACAGAATCAGCAGATTATTATGTTTATCAACCTCCAGCGATTACCACAATCAAATCAGAAGAAACTATTGAAGAACGTGAAGAAAATGATATATTCGCAATCAATTTGGACAATTAAAGTAATTATTGTGAAAAACAAAGGAAATTGGTTTCAAATTCGACAGTTTAACAACAAGGATCGTAAATCTCATGATCGAGAATCTCGACTCGAGATGAACCGTCCAGAGGATAATTAAAAGATAAATAAGGAAAACATAGAACGGAAAAAGTTTCTTTGTTTTTGTGAGAAAATGTCAACCTTTTTTTTTATTTCTTTTTTTTATTCCGAAAATTCTGCCTTTTGATCCTGAGACATTGAAGTACATGATTTGTATAGCAAGTAGCAAGGAAATGGTTGATATTGAGAATTTAAAAGTGAAGGTACCATGAAAATTGAAATGGAAGTTAGTTATCATTCCCGTTCTCGATTGGACATCACTCTTAAGTCAATTGCTTTTTACGATGGTGTTTATCTCTGCTACGATTTATTCAAAGTACATGTAGATCGTTCACATCGTCGTACATCATCAAAATATTAATCATCCTCATCCTCATCATCATCCCCATCATCCATCCATCCACTCGCCTTGGAATCACTCTTTCACATCACATCACACTCGAAATTGTCCATCATCAACTTAAATATTAGAAGTAGAGAAAGAGATAAAGAATCAAATCAAAGACGTAAAAATATTCCAAGTTAAGAATTTATCCAAAAATTTATTTGTATTGATGCTTAATTTTTTACTTTTGAAATAAGTATTTATGAGTATTAATTTCTAGTATTTCTCGAAGCGTGAGGACTAGAAAGATTAAAGATAAAAGAAAAGTAGATCAATAGCAATAACCATTCTCCTGGATTTTCATTTTGTTTCCATGAATTTCTTTTTATCTTTTCATTTGAAAGTTTCACTTGGAATTGAAGATGTCTAAATTTATTCAGTTTACGTTAATGTGTTTTCTTATTATCATGGTTATCGAAGCTCTTCCGCTCGATAAGTTTGTTCATTTACCTATGAGTTTACATGAAATCATCATCAATGGGAATAGCAAAGAAAATAAAGATTCATCTAATTCATCTAATTCATCCGATTCATCACAAAATCATCCATCTTCTCATCCCTCGCATCCTTCGAACCCATCTCATCTTCCACATCAGCAACAAGATCAACATCAACCACCACCCGGAATGAATCATAGTTATCCACTCTCTACTCAACCTATTTACTCTTATCCACCTCATCATCCATATCATTCTCATGCCCTTGGTCAATGGTATCCACACACTACCAATAATTATTACTTTAACTTAAACAACTTGAGCAATATTAGTAATATATCTATAGCTATATCCATTAATAGCACAGGAAAAGTTGTAGCTCATGAAAATCCGAAACCAGTGGAAAAAAGTTGGATTTCTGAGATTTACAGTGGCATTGTCAGAATCATTGGGGGAAAGCGGGATTTCGAGAGAAAGTTTTTTAAACCAATTTATTAAACGATAATAATTCATTTGAGCAAACAATTAACTCACAATCAACAACTGGAATAAAATCAGTTGTGTCTTTAATTAATTCCTTCGATGTTGATTGTTTACTTATGAATATGTTAACATTTACCTTAGTATATTAGTTACAGGTAATAAATTTACTAAATGGCTGTTGAATGTTGAATGGACAAACAATTAGTTAATCAGTTGGGTAAAGTGATTAAAATTTGAAACTAAAATGATATTGGATATAGTTAGCGGACTAACTATCACAATTAACTACAAATTCATTGAACCCTTCAATCGTTGTTCAATTGATCAAATTGATTAGAATGATTAATAATCAAGCAAAAGAAACGAAACAATTAAACCATGAGAAGTGATTATTTGTTGAAATAATTTTTCAATTTTGATTGTTTATCATAATGTTTCAATTCTGTTCTATCCTGGTGATTAATTTATTAATTTGATGATTAAGATGTGATTGAATTGTGAGAATCATTGACAATTTAATCATTCTATTTATGTTATGATTAATTGTTAGCACAAAATTTTCTGTTATTGAAATTAACTCTTAATTGTTCCCAATCCCTTTGAGATATAATCTTTGAGATGATCAAGGAATGGACTTAATAACTAATGATTATCTATTTGATTCACCCAATTAGTTATACAAATGTCACATGAAACAATCAATTTACCAAATTATCAAGAGATAATCATTAGAATTAACCTTATTATTGACGATTGATATTCTAAATTGTTGCTAATTGTTATCAGTTTGATTTATGGATGATGAAATATATTCAAATGTAAATGTAAAGTTATTGAAAAGTGTTGACTCTTCAATAGAATCAAATTTAATTATGAAAGCAAACAACTGGAACTG